ACAAGGTTTATATAATAATACAAGAGGATATGAAGAGTCTAACTGTTTCTGCACTTCGAGGGGTACATTCCCTTTTACGATTCGATAAGGCAACTCGGGTAACCACTCGTACTGTAATATCGGGACGGTTATTTGTCCTTGCTGATGTGCTGACTCTTAACTCTTGCGATTCTGACTGTTGAGTTGCAAGGTCAACGATCTGCGACCGTTGCCCTTTCGTAACCTCTATGAGGTGTCGTCAATCTGTGTGAATTGTCAGGGGTACTGTAGCAGTGTTGACTCGGTAATCTTCGTTGTTGTAGTCTTCGCATATTTCATACACTCATGCAAGACTCCGGAAATGCCTTAAGTCCTTTTATCATTTCCAACACCCTCCTTCATTTCTGGAGTGTCGATGTGGTCGAGGTCGCTGACGTGTTGCAGTCTAGTCAGCAGCATGCAGTACTGGAACTTGGCCTTCATCAGCTTCTTGGTCAAGTATTTGGCTGCCATTTTAGTGGTGGGGCAGTAGACCAATTGGAGGCGACCCTGCTCGATCTCATCCCTCACAAAGAAGTAACGAAGCGAGATGGGCCTCGTCCTGTTCGCGAATCCATTTTTGTTGGCGATCCTAATTGCCGATTGGTTGTCGCAAAAGAGAGAGAAGCTCGGTAACATGGAGATCTTTGCTTCTTCCAGCAGCTCGCGTAGGTACAGTCCTTCCTTCGTGGCTGTTCAGAGGACGATATATTCTGCTTCAGGGGATGAGAGAGCGATTAGTTCCTGTTATCCCGAATGCCCGGAAATTGTGCCGCTAGGTTCCAAATGGTACATGTAGCCCGTGTGTGAGCCGCGGTTGTCCTTGTCGCCGGCGTGATCGGCGTCGACGTAGCCGATGAGTTCGATTTTAGTAGCGACGTTCTTGTGGTCGAGACGAAGTAGTGGAGTGCACGGTCGAGTTCCGTCAGATTCCCCCCTTCAGGTCGCTTAAGGTAGGTAGCGAGCTAGCTAGCAGCGTAGGAGAGGTCAGGACGGCAGGTGACGGCAGTGAATAGCAGACAGCCAAGCTTCTGCTGGTACTCCTGGATACAGGCCTGTGCGAGTAGCGAGGTGGTCGACGCGGGTGCTGGTGGCGCGTAGGTGTACGGAGTAGCCAGAGGTAGTGGGGACAAATCGAATCTGCGAGCGATGGTTTCGGCATACAGATGGATGGTGTCGGGGCCGTCGCTGACGTTGAGGCCGAGGTATTGCATCACGGTCGGCGACACCGTGATCGTGAGCTGGAGTTCCAGCTCGCCCTCGAACCAATCGGTGATGGAGATAGTGGAGCCGACATAGAGTAGGTCGTCCATGTACACGATCAGCAGGACGTAGTCGCCGCTGTGTGACAGGCGATACATGCCCTGGTCGTGCGGGAGTTGGGCAAAGCACATGTCGGTTAGAATGCGATGGAGATATTGCTGCCACAGGCGCGGGGCCTGCTTGATCCCATAGAGGGATTTGAGTAGCTCACAGACCATCGTTGGATCACCGACGTAGGCGTGGGGCTGCTTGACAAAGATTTCGGCGTCGACAGGGGCGTAGAGGAATGCGGTGGCGACGTTGATTTGTCGCATGGGGAAGTCGGCGAGCGGCGGCAACGGCGAGGAGGATTCGAAGGGATGTGTAGCGGCTGACGGGAGGGAACGTCTCTATGTAGTTGCTGCCGTACTATTGATCGAATCCGCGAATGATCCATCATGCCTTGAAGCAATCGATGGTCCCATCTCCCTTGGTCTTTACTCGAAAGACCCATTTCCTCGACAGGATTGTTTTCCTTTGGTTTGAGAGACCGGGATCGGTTTCCATGTATTGCGCTCGTGCAATGCTGCTAATTCCTTGTCCATTGCCTCCCTGTGTGGCCCGTGCAGTTTGCGCTGACAGTCTTCGACTCCTCAACGGGCGGCAGCGACAGAGGATGCACGGCTGCTACCAGTCCGAGGATTTGCAGCCCAGTCTTGGTGTAGCGGGGGAGTATCCTTGGAATAAGCTGCTTCGTCGTCTGCTTTAGGATCGGGTACGAAACCTGGTCCTGCTCGTTCTGAAACAATTGTGTCGAGCTGTAGGGCGTTACGTAACCAGTGTTGGCGAAGTGGTTGTAGGCTTCTGCATTCGCACTTTTGCGAGGGTTGTCTCCTTCTATCTGCATGTCGACGAAGCAGTAGGGAAGTGTTCCTGCAGCTGCTGATGCGTCGGGGACGTTTTGCTCCTCCAGATCAGCTTCTTCTTCGGTCAAAGTGAGTGCGCGTGCTCCAGCAAAGCCACCGGAGTGGTCCCGATTGGCAGCAATGTTCTCCAGGTAATGGTTGAGGGTCAGGTTCTTGTAGAAGATAACGTCATGTGCCGGTACTGTTTCCTTATCTTCCACACGGAAGATTTTCCAGGCTTTGTAATGTTTTTCCACACCGAGGTGTAGACCCCATCTTGCCCGTTGCGAAAATCGTCCAGCTCTTGCAGTGTGCGGACGGTACTGTACCATGCAGCCAAACACTCGTAACAATTTTGTGTTGCCCTGTTTCCATGTCCACAGCAGATGCGGTGATGTGTTGTTTGGCAGGGAGCTTGTCGACAGAAGATTCTGCAGCATGACGGCGTGATTCATCGCCTCTGGCCACTGCGAGTTGGGCAGTCGCATCCCAGTCAGCAGCTTCCTCTTGGTGTTTTGGAGCGTCCGGTTCATCGTCTCTGCTACACCATTCTGTTGGTGAGCATAGGGGAGGGTGACGAGCCTCTTGGTTCCCCTTTCAGTGAGGTAGTCCCGTAATTGCTGTGACTGTTACTCCCTCGCCCCGTCTGATTGAAAATTTTTCAGCTTCGTATCTCCCTCCCGTTCTGTTGCAGCAAGCCATGCGATGAAGGCGGAGAAGGCGAGGTCGCATGACGACAAGTTAAGATGCCGATTGTATCGTGTCGCGGCGTTGACGAAGGTGATAATGTATAGTTGAGGTCGGCTCGGCCGACTTCTTGCAGAATGTAGAGTATATCGCTGTAGACTTTCTCGAGTGGAGTGTACTCTGGTACCCTCGGCTTGTGATGCGACGGGAACGGCTGATGAGGAAGATCTGCTTTCGGGCAGATGAAGCAGGTACGTCGTGGTCGGCGAATTTCGCGTCCATCGAGCAGTAGAAGCGCATCTTTCTCTATGACATTTGCACGGATCGTGTCGAACAGTCTTGAATCTCCAAGATGCCCTAACCGTTGATGCCAAGTCTCCTCGCTTGCTTTGTGTCCCACAGATCAGCGATACAGTGCCAAGTTGGCGTAGAAGGCGGAGACGATCGTAGCGCTTCGATGTTGCTCGCAAGGATGCGCCTTCAGCTGCTCAACGTAGGTCGGTGGTGATTTGTGAACGGGTTCCGGTTCAGGCGGAGCTTCTTCAACCGGTGGTGCCGACGAAGGTCCAGCAATGGGACTTCCAAGAAGTTGTCTTGTCGGCGCTTGCGGTTTTGCTCCGTGCTCCTCTGTTTTTCATTCCTCTGCTTCTTGTTCCTCTGCTTCCTGCATCACTGCTGATGCTCGGGCACTCTCTGCTTCAGGTATGGTGTTGGAGTACCAGAAGCCATCGCGGTCGAACCAGGGATCGAGATCCGATGGGTGCGTCTAGGGCGCGAAGGAGACGACGCCGTCACTGTCGGCGGTTCAGCGGTCTGGAACGAAGTCCAGACGAAGACTCTGTGCTTTTGGATGGCTCTGCCGATGAAGAGTCTGTGCTTCCGTTGGTATAGTCGGAACTCTCGGTTGAAGCTGTCACACTCCAGATGAATTCCTTTCGACATCAGTTGGCTGACGCTTAGGAGGTTGTAGCCAATGTTGTCGACGACGAGTACTCGTACATTTGTAGTATCACGTTCGTCTCGCTGGACTGTAATTGAACAACTCTTTCCTTCCTTGTGCGCATGTTTTGGTTGTTGGCGACGGTGATGACCACTTTGCAGCTCACTGTTTTCTCTCGTTCTATGAAGCGCGCTGAAGAACACATGTGCTGTCCACAGCAGATGTCAAGAAACCATGTGTCGTGGCCGGATGGTTCGTCGCGAGCGATTGCAGCGTAAGTTGGGTTCGGTTGGAGCCGTGTTTGTGGTGGAGCGGGTGGTTGTTCGTCAACGAAACTGTGAGGTGGAGAGTCGGGTACACTGAAATCCATTCGAGCCATACAACTGACGACGTTCCTTGCGTCTTGTACAGAGCGATTAGTCGGAGCTGTTGGGCGCTGTTGAGTTGAAGCGACCGGATTCGGTGACGGACGTGGCTGATACTGTGTGAACTGCGGCTGCTGCTGGTGCTGCTGCATCGGACAGTTGAAGCCCGAGTGTCACGTCGTGCGGCATGGATAACAATATGGAGGTGAGTATCATTTCTGGCTGTTGTGATTGTTGTGGTTGCGCCCATGTGCGTAGAACACGAGTTGTTGACTTGGTTTCTTGGCGTGTCTCTCTTCGTACTAGTCCATGTCTTGCTGCTCGGCATGGAGCTCCGTGCATAGGTGCATCTAGAAAATTCGCCCGTGAGCACGTAGACGGGAGCGCGTCGTATGCCACTGTGGACCGAGGCCGGCGAGGACGACCGTGATGAACGAGTCTTCCGATAAGTGCCCTCCGCTTCGTAGAAGCTTGTCGTGTAAGCCTCGGCAGCGATTGATGTAAGGCATTGCTTTTTCTCCTAGTTGCAGCTGGATTGTCGTGAGTTGAGCCATAAGCCGGCTCTGTGTCACGCTGTCGGTTGCCTAATATACGCTCTTCATATGGCAGTATGCCAATTCTGCCGAGTTGCCGAAGTTGCGATATGTCCGGATGCTCTGCTGCTCTGTTGCTGTCAGATTGCGCAAGAGGATGGTGAAGGCCATCAGTGACTAATAGGTATAGACTTTCTTTTCCTGAGTAGTTCCGTTTACAGGAACTGGCCAGGAGCCGGTGAAGAAGCCAAGGATTTGCGCGCCATCCATTAGCAATTCGAACTCGAAGCTCCAGGTGAAGAAGTCCTTCCCATTGAAAGGTGAGGACGTTTGCAGTTTCAGGATGTTGTTAAACTGTTGTTGTGTGGTGACGATGTCTGACTACTTGTTAGCCGTCGTTGAGTCCACTGCCGGTGCGGGAGTCGGCAGGAAGGTGAATGAGCCTGGCGAAGGCTGGTACGGTTGATGCTGTGTAGGTGGTATGCCTCTTGCATATGACGCACCGTCAAGACTCATGGGGCTGTCCCATTGTTGTTGTTACTGTGTGGAGATTGAGCAGGTGCCGAGGGTTGCTCGTAGGTCGACATGAAGGAGAAGAATTTCTCCATCAGATTCGGGTCCATGCCCGTGGAGGAGACCACTGGTTGTGTGGAAGCTCCTGCAGCTGCAATTGCCTCAGTCTGGAGTCCAAAAAGTGGGGGTGCAGAAGGGGATCTAGTTGAGCATCTGTCGCCCTTAGATGGCGCCATGTCTTGTAATCTTGAATTGATGAACTGAAGTTGTTGTAAGTGAATCTTCAAACGAGTTAGAAACTCACTAAGGGAGTTTGTAATAGGAGCGTAGCTTTTGACTAGCTCTCATACCATGTTGGGCTGAGAATAGCCCTGGATCTTTTCAGAATGATAAGTCCTTGTAACAGAGTGCTTGATAGCACAACGGAAGTCTTGAGTTGAACCCTTGTACTGGTATGTGAGAACAAGTGATTGAGGCAAAGGGATACAAGGTTTATATAATAATACAAGAGGATATGAAGAGTCTAACTGTTTCTGCACTTCGAGGGGTACATTCCCTTTTACGATTCAATAAGGCGATTCGGGTAGCCACCCGTACTGTAATATTGGGATGGTTATTTGTCCTTGCTGTCGCGCTGACTCTTGACTCTTGCGATTCTGACTGTTGAGTTGACAAGGAACGGGGATAGTCATTGGCGCGTGGCGATGCCACTGCATCGACGACAACCAAACGTGTCCACATGACAACACCACCCACGTCGCTGAGCCTAGCCCAAGGACCACGTTGGCGACCAGCCTCCCCCCTGGCATTTTCAAGTGGACCCCCACTTTGCATTTGGTGCAGTGTACTCACTAAGTGTTTTCTAAAACGTAAGCAGTTTAGCAGGTAGAGTAGCGCAAAAATACCGCCAGTCACGCATTCTGTCCGCGATCCTCTTGAGGAATACAGGTTAAACACGCGGCACAACGTCCTCATCGAACAAGCTTCTGACACAAGGGCCGCGACGAACAGTACACAACAGAAAAACTGCAAAAATGCGCTCAAATACTGTAGGTCACGCTGCCCTTCCCATTCCTTCCATCGTTTTACGCCTCCCTTCCCTCCCTCCCGTCGCGTTACGCCTCCCTCCCCTCCCTTTTGTCGCGTTACACCTCCCTCCCCTCCCTCCCGTCGCGTTATGCCTCCCTCCCCTCCCTCCCGTCGCGTTACGCCTCCCTCCCCTCCCTCCCGTTGCGTTACACCTCCCTCCCCTCCCTCCCATCGCGTTACGCCTCCCTCCCCTCCCTCCTGTTGCGTTATGCCTCCCTCCCCTCCCTCCTGTGCGTAGCGCACCCCACTTTATCCCTTCCTTCCTCTCTCCCCTGCCCCCCTACTTCAAGTACCCTCCTTTCTCCCCTTCCAAGAGATCGCAGAGAGAGGGTAAGGGACGAGAAGAGATATGGCAAAGAGGGGGGAAGGGATGGGGAGAGAGATGGCAGAGAGGGGGGAAGGGACAGGGAGAGAGATGGCAGAGAGGGGGGAAGGGACAGGGAGAGAGATGGCAGAGAGGGGGGAAGGGACGGGGAGCGAGTTGGCAGAGAGGGAGGAAGGGACGGGGAGAGAGATGGCAGAGAGGGGGGAAGGGACGGGGAGAGAGATGGCAGAGAGGGGGGAAAGGACGGGGAGATAGATGGCAGAGAAGGGGGAAGGGACGGGGAGAGAGACGGCAGAGAGGGGGGAAGGGACGGGGAGAGAGATGGCAGAGAGGGGGGAAGGGACGGGGAGAGAGATGGCAGAGAGGGGGGAAGGGACGGGGAGAGATATGGCAGAGAGGGGGGAAGGGACGGGGAGAGATATGGCAGAGAGGGGGGAAGGGGCGGGGAGAGGTATGGCAGAGAGGGGGGAAGGGATGGGGAGAGATATGGCAGAGGGGGGAAGGGAGGGGGAGAGAGATGGCAGAGAGGGGGGAAGGGACGGGGAGAGAGATGGCAGAGAGGAGGGAAGGGGCGGGGAG